GGGGGGGGGGGTATGGGCCACCTGGGCTACCCTCACCCACTCTCCACCCCCAGGGGCCCCCTGAGGTGTGGCCTCAGCCCTGGGGCTGACAAGGACACCCCGAGGCCCTCAGCAGAGACAGGCGGAGCTTGTATGGTGACAGCTCAGGGGAAGGAGCGCTGCGCTCAGAGGAGGAGGAGCTCTCAGGGGTGGGTCATCTGGGAAAGTCTTTCGGAGGACGGGCCGAGGTAGAGCAGACCTCCCTCCCCTCATGGGCCCTCCCACCTGCAGGTGACAACAGCCATCTGGGCTGCCTGCTCCGCAGCACGGCTCTCATTCTTGGGCACTGGCTGGCGGGAGGGCTCTGGGGGACACTGCCCACCAGTCAAAGCCCCAACGGGAGTTAATGAGCAGGTAATAAAGTGTTTAGTTTAACAACCATGGGCTGAAATTCAGTCTTTGGCTCAACATGAAGAGATTAAGGGATTCCAACCAAACCCCCTTTCAAGTGACTCCAGGGACTGACACCTTTGCCAATAAGAAAGGAGTAAGAAGCTGTTGGCCAGCTTAAGTCGGAAACTGAAGCCCAAACTGCCAGCCAGTGGGGTGAGAGGAGCCACTGCTCAGCGGGGCATCTCAGTGGGACATTTGCTGTTTGTGTCCATGGAACCGGAGAGTATCTGGTTCTTCCCCTCCAGGTTAGAGCAGTGAGTTTTGGAGAGAAACCATCAGAAAGGCTCTCCCTGGCCTGCATCACTTAAGAAAAGGCCCTGGGGTCCCAGCAACCACAACCTACTCCCTGTGGCTTGAAGACAGAATTCAAGGCAGGCTCAGATCCCTTTCCAGCAAGCCAGTCCCTTCTGGTCCCAGGGAGCCTGTGAGGTGGGCTGAGGAAGGGAGGTGTGTATACCACAGGCCAGGTGGGCTCTGGATAGCAATGCCAACCTCACTGCCCTGAGGGCTCAGGAATGCAGGAGAGCTATGGTTGGGCAGCACTGTGGCTCTTTCTACCAGGGACTGTCCCTCTGGGATGAAGCTGAGGGTCAGGATAGGCAGGAAGGATGGTGCCATCCTCCTCCAAGTCAAACAGAAAGGGCCTCAAGGGCTTCCAGCTGACAAACCCTGTCCCTGCCCCTCCAGTCCAGAGGCCATGCCACCAAGAATTTCAAAGGACCTAGATGCCTAGCTGACACTGTCCTGTTCAAGTCAAGGCCTGCAGGCTGAAGCTGCTTGAGCAGACCACTGGTGACCAAAGAAATAAGTGTCACTTCAAAGCACTGCTGGCCTGAGGGGGGTCCCAGGACCCAGGAGAATTTTATAGGAGACCTCGGGCTGCTTTTTGCTCTATAAATGCTCTTGGGCAGCCAAAGCCAACCAGCTGGCAAACAGTGTGACCAGTCTGCCCAGCTCGGCCAGAAAGTCCCGTCTGATGATAGTTGTGATGACCCCCAGCTGCCCTTAGGGCTCTGTGGTCAACTCCTGGAACAGCTTAAGACAGCAAGACATGCCTGGGGGACATGGCTATGTATGCCCGGGGCATTGGCCAAAGAGAAAAAAGTGATCCTGCACTTCGACATGTGGCCTAGGCCAGATGTCAGCCTTTGCTCCATCAAAATGGAAGCCTCCACAGTATTCAGGCTCAGTATTGACCAGTCATGATTCAATGCCCTAGGGCCTCAGGAGGTCTAAAGAGACAGTGTGGGTGGGGAGAATTCTGGCTGGACAGAAGAGCTTAGGACTGGTCTTGGAGCTGCATTTGCATAGCAATAGATTTGGAGCAAGCATGTGTGTGGTTGGGGTGACTAGTGGGCTAACAGAGATAACCTATGGGAAGGCTAAAACCTCTCTAGCGCCCCCATGGTGCTGTAAATGCTCAAGGCTTCACCCTCCCAGGTCATAGCTGCAGCTTTGCAAGAGCCTTCTATGCTTAACCTGGAGCAGGACAATCCAATCTGGGCTATTTCAGGGACTGAGCATGCTGGAGAGGGAGGGATGGTGGTGGGAAAGGCATGGGCCCAGTCTGGGCATGAAGACACCCATGCGTGCTTTACTCAGTACTCATCCAGGAAGCATGTGCTGATCACC